AGAAGGAAAGCCGGGGGAAGCGGCTGGGCATAGGTCTACCGGACACTGTCCCCGAATTTGGAGGGTAGGGATGGGAGGAACGAGGAACGGAAGTAAATTTGGACTGCGGAAAGGGGAGCATTTCATCCCTTTTTGAGGCTAATTCCCCCCCAGTTCGGTAGTGCGCAACTGGGCGCCGCAGACCAACTGCTGGCTTCTCCCGGCGCGCGTTCTCGTCGTGCGGAGAACCAGCCCCACTTCTGCAGCCGCTGCGCGTAGGGCGCGAGCCCTGTATATCTCCAGGCCCTTAGGGGGTTACAGCTTTAGCTCAGGTCGTCCGAGGCCCCCATCCGACCTTGATCATCTTTCCAATACCCCCGCGACCCCGACAGTGCAGGAGAGGCTGTGGGGGACCCCACGTGCCTGGTTGCAGATGGAAAGGGCTTAGCCCTGTTCTCCAAAAGGTCTCCACCTGGATCCTTTTCCAAGCACAGAATGAGAGAGGGGAGGAGAGGGGAGTCCTTCTCCCCCTCCATTCCGAGGCCCCCATCCGACCTTGATCATCTTTCCAATACCCCCGCGACCCCGACAGTGCAGGAGAGGCTGTGGGGGACCCCACGTGCCTGGTTGCAGATGGAAAGGGCTTAGCCCTGTTCTCCAAAAGGTCTCCACCTGGATCCTTTTCCAAGCACAGAATGAGAGAGGGGAGGAGAGGGGAGTCCTTCTCCCCCTCCATTCAAGAGGCCCGAGGCCCGAAGGTGACAGGGACACGGGGCCTGTCTGGCGGGCTCTTGGGGTGGGGACACCTCGGAGGCCAGGGGCGGGGGTGGGGGAGGGGGGAACGGGACGAAAAGACTGACACGGTCTCACCATTTTTTTTTTTTTTTTATTGAATGTTTCAAAGATAAATTGAACTTCAAAAGGCAACTCTCCAAACTGACTCGAGACTTGTTGGCGGGGGTGGAACTGGGTGAGGATGTCAACCTCCTAGGGGACTTTTTTCTTGCAGGGGGTTAACTATGCGCCCTGAAATTACCTTTCCCTTGCAAGGCGAGCGTCCCTCCTTCCTCGCGTGACAGTTAAATTTGTGAGGAGCTGGCCTGGCTTTGCACGCTCAGCTCGGCTGGTGGGGCCTCCTAGGGGTGGGTGCCTTGAGCCAACCTAGTCGGATTGGAGTTACAGGGACTGCCGCGCCTGTGCGCGCGCGGAGGGGGTCGGTGTTCGGTCTTGTCGATTTCCACATCCCCAAAGATTACAGGTGGCCATTGAAGGTCTGGCGCCAAGGGGATTCTGCCAGTCTTCGCCCACCCACCCCACTCACACCCCCAAAAAAACTACGCTGGAGCACGGAGGGTGTTTTTTGGTTTTGTTTTTTTTTTTCTCGAATCCCCCATATCGATGTTCCAAAGGAGAGCGGACTTACAACATTAACTGTCCGTACTGCACGAACTAAGTTTTGGTGGGGTTTGCATGGGAGAAGCTGACTTAGCGGGGCAGTCTTTTTCGATGAAAACTCCAGGATCTGAAATAACGATTTTTCTTCTGAATTCTCATCAGGCCCCCTTTCCCTCTCCCATCTGGCTTCCTAATTTGAAGGAAAAGTAAGTTCAGGTTGAAGTTAGCTTCCGTCGCGCGCGCGGAGTAAGGGACTTTTGTTTTTAGCTTGGTAACTTGAGTGACATCTCATTTTTGTTCACTGGGGGCGGTCTTAATTATTTAAAGGCGAAGGGGAAGAGGGTACGGAAAAAAACGCCAGAAGACATTGAATCCTTTTCTAACTTTCTACCTTTAGGGAAGGTTCCCAAAGAAAGCATTTAACACAAAGGCCCAAAGATATTTCAATAAAAATTTATTGAAATTTCACTGATGTAGGACACTGGGGGGTACAGAAAGCAAAAAAACAAAAAAACAAAAAAACAAAAAAAAACTCATCAACTATCACACAAAATATACCTTCATGAATTTTTGTTTTTAAACCATCTCTCAGCACCTGACCTTTGAACTCTCTCTCTCTGCAGGCACCAGTTGGAAACACCATTGATTATTGACAACACTAGTAAATCTCACTTTGTTTTGAGAAAATCAGGGTACAAATGCAAAAGAAAAATTAGTCTAATACACAGCCTCCACACTGCTCTACAGCAAGCTCAGAACCAGTTAAGAGTTTAAGGAATTTGCAGTGGAGCTGGAAAGTGGCACCCACTTTGGGTTTAAAGAGAAAATAGGACCCTCTCCATTTGGAATATTTAAAAAAAAAACAAAAACCAAACAAGTTTGCAGACCACTCTTTTGTAAAGTGTGTTTGGTGTTGGTGCAGAAAATGAGTTTTCTCATGCTAACAGCAATTCTGGGACCTGGAAATAAAACTGACAAAAGAATAAAAGAAGAAGAAGAGGAGAGAGAGAACACAAAACCTGACAGTTGCAATTCTATTTACATAGAGCTATGTACAATGTCAATAAATTAAAGTTTAATTTTCTGAGCATTCATATTCCACCTATTTACAAGAGTTATCAAATAATTACATAAATACTTTGTCTAATAGTCTCGCTTCTTTATTATTTTTTTTAAAACCTTGTTATTGCATATACAGGACAGAGAAAGGACTGTCAAAGAGGGCAGATGTGAGTTCTGCTGCAGAGTTTAGATCAAATAAATTCTTTTTTTTGGGGGGGGGGCGCTTTCTCTACCCCTTCCGTTCAAGATCCTCCTCCATTGGTCTTTCTCATTCGAGGGCTCAGGATTGGAGAAAAGGTGTGGGGTTATGATTTTTATTTTTCCTCTCTAAAAGCAAGCGTTTGAAATTTAAAAAAAAAAAAAAAACCACAAATACATGACTGTGGAATCATGCAAGAAGAGACCTACAGCGGCTCTTAACACATCACAAGAATATTAAAAAGACACAGATTTCCTTAATAGAGACTAAACAAATGTGGCGGGGATTTCCCTTCCCAAACAATCTGCTCAGAGATCCATGGAGAACTGATAGGCCAGTCACTCTGAAGTGGGGTGAATCTTCACAAACAGAACCGTGTTCAATGTGATTCCTTTGTCTCCCTTAGTTTTAAAAAGTGGCATTTGTTTTCATTTCCACTTGACACGGCGAAGGAAAATATATACAGAAATTCCGTCTGAGGGAAATGCTTTCAACACCTCCCCTCCTGGTGGGTTTAGTACCCTTTTCTCCAGACCAGCCTTGCTGGAAGTTACTCTGGACATTAAGTGAATTGACTCCTGCCCCTAGTAGCTCCATGTGGCAGAAGTTTCTGAGCCCCCCTCCCCCAGATCTGGGCCAGACCCTGGATATATAAACCACGCCAAGACAACAGGGCCTGTCTCTAGAACATTCTTGCATCTTCTCTTGAGGGAGTCCTGCACCCCTTCCTAGCCGGGATGCCGAAGGAAGGGCTTAACCCCGACAGGGGCCTGCGGTTTATTTTACATCATACAAAGTGCACTGCAGACTGGACTGGACTGGAATGAAGAGACATCTCTGGGGAGGGACTTATGGGGATGCACTGCGGGACCTGTCCGGCTTGGCTTCCAGGCCGCTGACCAACCGCTGGATACTCTGCAGTTCGCTGGTGGCTGCCTCTTTGTCAGAGCAGAGTTTGGGGGACAAGGTCGACGCGCTGGCGGAGGGAGTGGCAGAGAGGGTGGGGGCGTTTTACAGCCACGGAGGCTGGGCTGGCGGCCAGGGCAGTGGCTTTGGCGTCCAGGGGCCCCATGGTGGCTGCCATGGATGGCAGCGCGGTGGTGAGAAGGCTGCTGCTGTCGGGGACCGGCACCGGGATGGAGTAGGGGCTGTAACGCAGCCTGGGTCGCATGGTGTTCAGATTCAGGAAGGGGTGGCGGTGCACAGAGCTGGAGGCGGCTGCAGCAGAGGCGGCGGCAGCAGCTGCCATGTACGTGTAGGGGTAAGGAAAAAGGCTTCCGAAAGGCGACATGGCCAGGCCCTGGGGAAGGAAGAAAGGCAGCAGGAACGTCAGTGGAATGAGTGCTGCAGGGATGGGGGGGCCCTCCTCCATCTCCTCCCCGTCACCTCCTTTGGCTCACCATAAATCCCTTCCCCTTTTAGGGCCAAAGAGGATTGAGGACAACTCTGACTTCTCTAGTTTCACATCTTAGTGGGGTCACCCTAGGCCAGGTCCTAACTTGCTGAGCCTCAACTTTAGAGGAAAACTACCAGGAAATTGTTAGGCCTGCAATAAGGTGCCCTGCTTGGATCACAGGATGCCCTGAAAGTCCCCCAGGAGGCTCAGGTGTACCACCTGTTCAATGGGTCCACAGTGGCAGAGGGAAAACCAGAGGGCATACTTTATTTGACATAATTTCATCATTCTTGTTCCCACCCACTAGAACTCCCTCCCACTCTAATTCTAGAAGTTTCTCCCCCCCCCAAAAAAAAGGGGGAGAGAGGTAAGTAAAAGGATGTTGGTTCTAAGCATAGACCAAGACATTACCCAGCCTGATAGCTGGTGTTACAGGTGAACAACTGAAGCAGGCTCCAGGGGGTTAGCAATTCACTCAGTGAGTGGCAAAATCAGGGTTTAAAATGCAGGCACTGGCCCAGCAGGTGGAGTGGAGGTTAAAGCCACTGGAGCCCAGTAGCAATGTTTGAGTTCTAGACCAGGTAGATTGAGATCCGTTAGGCTGGGCACCTGTGCATGCCCCAAATCCCAAGAGGAGAATGGAGATGGGATTGTGATGTGGCCCCTGGGGTAGGGTGCTTTCTCGCTGTTCCCCAACCCCTCCAAGCACAGGCACCCTGGTCTAGGCCAGTTTTCTCTGTGCTATACCGGGAGGAATCATCAGTGGCCCCTCATCCCCTGATGACGGTCCCTAGGGGAAGCCAACAGGGGAGATGGTGGGAACTGAGAAAGGCCAAAAAACCAACACATTTCTCAGCTCCATCCTCCCCAGAGAAGGGTGCCAATCTTGCTTCTTGGCTCAGGGAAGGGAGTTGAATTTGCTCAGACAAAACAAAAGGCAAAACAAACAAACAAACAAACAAACAAAAAAACATGCAGAAACTTCCCAGCAGCCCTGCTCTGAGCTCAGTTTCTAGCGCCCAGGACTTCCCAGGCTGCCTGGCCCAGCTGTCTGAAGCACACAAGCCACCACAGTCCCTGTGAGTCTCCCTCCTCTGACACTTTCCACATGTGCACCAACCATTAACCCTTTGGGGGAACAGGCTGGCCTGCTTGGAGGGGAGGAATCCGAGGGAGAAGTGCTCTGAATTAGGAACACAAGGCTGCCAATTGCCAAACAGAACGCCCCCCTCCAAGTCCCCTCCCCAAGGACAGATGTCCCTCTTGTCTGATTTTCTGAAGCTAAAATTAAAACCCCTGAAAAAGTTCCTACAGTCAGACGGCTGGGCTATAGTCAAGACCCACCCCACCGTGGACAAGCTCTGTGACCTTGGGCACGTTACCCACCCTCTCTGGGCCTCTCCTGGTTCAGCTCGAAAGGAGACATGACAACAGTTAAGACTGAAGGGTTCCATCAAATGAGTCAGAATAGACAGGGACTTAGACAAAGGCCTGGTACAAAATGCATGCGGTGTGTAGCTACCACTACTACCTGCCTCTGTCAGAACCCTAACCATAGGGAAAAATTTGCAATTTTTTTTGTAAGGGAGTGAGGTCATGATGACTCAGTGAGATAAGCCTTGTCCCAGTAATGGCTTATTATCATTATCATTATTATTATTTAAAGGTCCCAGGCAAGGCTTCTGGGTGAGGTCAGGGACTCAGTGCAGGAAAAAGAGAGCCCCTGGGGGGAGGGGCTGGAGCTGAGTTGGGGGAAGGGTCAGTACCTGAGAGGCCAGGACGTGATGCTGGAGGTGGAAGGGCAGGGTGGCCGCAGACGCCCCCGACAGTCCCTGTGCAGCAGCAGCAGAGGCCATGACAGTGGAATCCAGACCCGAGACACCCGTGGAGGCCCCGGACACTGTGGCCAGCAGCGGCCCCATGCCGGCTGCCACGCTAGAGAAGGCACCCCCCATGGCAAACTGGCTGGGGTGCAGGAAAAGCGGGTGCCCGTTGAAGAACTGCTGACCAGCCAAGCTGGGGGCGAAACCCAGGCCAGGCAGGGGGCCCTGGGCCAGGTGCGCAGCCGCATCGGTCTGCACCGTGAGCGGCGCGAAGGCTTCCTTGCCCGGCAGTGCGCGTACTTCCTCGACCTTGGACGTGGCTATGCCCTCGCGGCCCGGGCTTCGGCGCTCCTCCGCGCCCAGGCTGCGGGTACTAGAGGAGATGGTGGCCGGGCTGTGACGCGAGTCAGGCGATGCCTTGTCCAGCCGTCCGCTGTCCCGAGGCCGGCCACTGGGCTCTGCCGCAAAGAGGTGCGCCTTGACCGCCGGGCTATGCTTGTCGCGGCTCGGCTCCTCCGAGGTGGTGGTAGAGATCTTGGCCGCGTCACCGGCCTCCGGGCCCTGCTCCTCTTTGCTTTCGGCCTCAGCGTCACTCTCTCCCTCGCTGGGACACAGATCTACCACAGGAGAAGGAAACAAGCAAGGTCGAAAGGGGTTAGCTATGGAGTTGGCAAGTGGCCTGGTTGTTAAAGGCGCTGGACTCCCACATGGCTGACAGAGGTTCAAATCCTGGACCTGGTGGCTCGCTTTCTCACTTCCCCTCTCTCTCTTTCTCTGATCAAATGGAAAATAATAATAATAAATTTAAATAGAATAATGAAAAAAAGAAAGAAAGGGGTTAGCTTCAATCTGGGCGATGCAACCCTAGTTCCCAAGTTCGAACCCCAGCTCCACTGCTCTGGAGCTGTGTAACCTGAACAAGCTACCTAACCTCTGCAACTCAGTTTTCTCATCTGCAACATGGGGATGATGATACTGCTGAACAATTCTGTTACAAAAATCAATGAGGTAATAATGAACTGAAAGCGTTTAACTCGCTTGGATAGACACTGCCTTCCCACAGCACCCCGCAACTGGGTATAACAAATTTCTCTTTTGATTTTACAAGCATCTTAACTCCTACTAGGTCAGACAAAAGATTTACGTACCATTTCCCCCAGGTCAATTGCAATTTGGGGGAGGGTGTCTTTTTGTTCTTTTTCTTTTTTTTTACAAATTCACTTTTTAAAAATCAAAACTAGTTGACTCTAAAACTCACTGCTGAGACAATTTCCAGTTACTATCAGCGTCTCTGTGCAGTCAGCAATCAGTATCGGCACTTGGCACAAATATCAGAATTAGGCTGGAAGGATTGGTTTGGAGAGGACCCCAACATCTGGGGTGGGCCACGGCAGACATCAACACCCCTCCCCCATCAGGCAGACTCAATGGCACCTTTTCTGGGTTTGCCCAGTCCCTGCAGACAGGGCCCAGGACAAAACAATCATAGATTGTGTTCTGCTTTTTACCACACCTTCTGTGGGTGTCCTATCCAAAAAATAAATAAATAAATAAAAAGGTAAAGGAGATCTTATTTTATGTTTAAAGCTTAAATAGATTGAAGGCATGAAGGACTTCCATTTTATTTCACTTAAAAACAGGTTTCTTCCTGTTGAGAAAGAGAGTATGTGTGTGTGTGTGTCTTCCCAAATAAATAACACTTGCTCCTTAAACACAGGAAACTGATTGGGGATTTAAACCATCCCATCCACTCCCACTCCCAGTACAGATCCCCAGTTCTCCACCACCTCCCTCCCCAGGGCCAATTGCTACTCCATTGAGGGATGTATTCTCAGCCAGCTCTGTTCCAGGGGCAGAGAAACCCTCCCATCTCCCCAGCTCAACACATGTTCACCTGGAGTTCAAAGATGGAGACAGTTTTGGTTGGAGAGAAGAGAGTGTAAAGACAAAGCAAGGAGGGGACCAGCAGGTGGCATAAAGATTAAGGCCCCAGACTCTATGGAGACAGTTTTGGTTGGAGAGAAGAGAGTATAATGACAGAGCAAGGAGGGGACCAGCAGGTGGCATAATGATTAAGGCCCCAGACTCCCATGTGGCATGGCTGACTGGAGTTCGAGTCCCAGACCTGGGGGTTTGCTTTCTCATTCTCCCTTTCTCTTTCTGCCTCTCTCTGGTCAAATTCAAAAATAAAATGAAATAAATGAATCTTTAGAAAGACAAGAGTGAGGAGGGGGGGAGAGAGGGAAGGAGGAGATACTGATTCCATCTTTAGAAAGACAAGAGTGAGGAGGGGGGGGAGAGAGGGAAGGAAGAGATACTGCTTCAGGTACATTTTCAAAGCTAAGCTCCTCAAGACACACACCCTCAGCCAAAGAAGGGTTTGCAGGAAGGAGCTCTGAGCCCTCCTTATTCTTATTCTTATTCTACTTAGGAAGCAGGAACACACCTGCTAGTCCCCTTTGAACTTTGGCTCCATTTATAGACATCAAGAAGAATCTGCAGCATTTTAAAGGGTAAATCCCCCTGACTCTTCCAGGTCATGATGACCTGGAGTCATCCCATAGGTTTACCTTTGAGGTTTGAGGTCCCCACAGTGGACACCGCTGGAGAGGAGGCCTGGGCGAAGCAGTTGAAGGCTGCCTGTTCACTTGAAGACTCATCGGAGGTCCCATTCTCCTTCTTGTGTCTTTCATCAAATACTCTCACGGACTGCAGGGTGAGCTGTTTTCTGAGGCAGAAGCCCACACCCAGTGTTACCAAAGGTAGCATACATGTCCCTTCTTTGTTTCTTGACCCTTTCCAAAGCAGCACACACACGCACCTCACCCAGCCTGCCGCCCACAGACAACACCAATTCTCTGAAATCTGCCTGCCCCAGGGCAGCCACACAGACTCAAGCATTGTTCTTGACCCTCTAACTGGACTGAAGAGAGAGGAAGGAAGAAGGCTTCAGTTGCATTTATTCAAGATCAGGGTTTCCCTAGAAAAGGCCATTTGGCCTGGGCTGTAAAATCTTGTTTCAAGTCAAGAAGGGGGCCAGAACTGGCCAGAAAACAGTGGAGCTGCCGGCCTTCAGGAAGAAGAACCGAGTGCCTGGAGCAGGGAACACGATGTGGTCTGACCCCAGCCGACCAGACTCCTGGATGGTTGCTAAGACCTCAAGGAAGTGGTTATTTCATGGTGCACTTTACAGTTTTCATTTCCCCAACCTATTCATTGGGATAAAAATCTATTCGGATGTTAGAAATTATTTTTTAAATGTCCACCCCCAAGGGGATAGGTTCAACATTTGGGATGATTTTCTGGCTTGTAGAAATTCTTTGAACAGGGACAGAGGAGGGGAAGGCGTTTTTTACGTACCCCCCTAGTTGTCTACTTCATGCAAAATGGTACATACACCCTTGAAAGAGAGAGGGAGCCATAGATATCTCGAAGGACCCAATCCTGTTTGATGGGATTGGGAAGACAAAATGGCAAAAATTCCAAAGATTCTGTGAATGGTTTGGTCCTTTTCTGGAACCTGCCCAGAAGGAATTTAAATTCATTAGAAATTAATAGGCATCCCTATATCATCGGATTGTTTTTCTTCCAGCGACAACTGGTATAGCCTGATGAAAGACCTTACAGGTCACAAGAAGGAGGTCGAAAAAGTATATACTGACATTTGCAGACATGCGTGTGTGTAAGGGGGTTATTTTTCCACACGCTCAGTGTGAACGCTTACATGCTTACATCAGCTTCTAACTGCTTGAGAGTTGGAGCCTAGAAAAGGGACTTTTTTTCCTAAAAGACTTGAGACTACATAATGACCTCAACTCACCTTTTCTCTCTTCTGCCATTTCCAGTGTCCCGGAACCCTTTTGCAAAAGGATTGTTGTCTATTTTTAACTGAGTTATCTAGAAGAGACATAAGCAAGACAGAGACATGGGGTTTAGTTTCCAGAATGGTTTGGGGGGCGGGTGTTCTTCCCACCTCGATAGTTTTCTAGAAACTTGACTGCTACAAACTACAGAGATCATGACAGAAGTTTAGAGAGGACTGAGAAAAATCAAAGGAAACTATTAAGGCTCAAGGCTCCCACAAGACACTAAACCAGGAATTGTAGGCTGAAATGAACGCCGCAAGAAACCCTCTTCTTTGGACAGCCAACAGCTTGGGTTTAGAAATGGAAACGTCGTCAAAAGTTGTCAAGAGAGACAACCTGTCGGTCCTAAAATTATGCTTTCATTTTGATTTTCTTATACAGTGCAATTAATCATAAAATAAGTTAGGCATACTCCCCTGCCTGCAAACACACACACAAACACACACACACACACACACACACACTTGCACAGTACCACTCCAAACTTTTCCATGAATCTAATAAACTGATTTATGGGATTTTGCTTCCCCTGTACTGGAGTGAGTTTGATTTTTTGCTTGGAGGGAGGGAGGTGGTGGCTTGAGGAATTACAATATTGACAATTACAGATTTAAAAGGACTGAATGACCGCTAGAGACATTTGTTTTCATTTATATGCTCTGCCACTGCCATTAGGTGGAGAAAGCCAGAGGCCTCTTTGTCTGATCAAAATGCTACATTTTATTATTACATTAACAACTTAGTTTCACGGGATTCTGGGTCTAGAGGGAGCACGCATTTCGCACGCTGCGGAAAAATGCCAGACTATGTAATCTTTCAAATCCCTTTCCTTTGAGGGGGAGAAGTTATACATACAGAGTTACTCAGAGGTAGAAAAGGGAACCCATTGGTTGTATTCTTATTCAGAGAATAATTTGTTGAATGCTGCCTGCTGGATTTCAGGTTTTGCCCTGGGCAGGGAGAAGAGGTCATTAATGCCTTAATCTCAGACTAAAAAAGATTGATCTGGAACACCCCCATCACATAGCCAGAGAGGACCAGCTGACAGTGATGTGAGTTCAAATTGCAGAGTGTTGTCACGTAGACAGACTCTCCCAGAGGTCCAGGTTTCAGAAGTGGAAGGACAGGGATCCACAGTCCCTCCCTGACCCCATAATGGCCTGCTAACAACCAAAGTGGGAGCTGGTAAATCAGGGGCGAATCTGTGTTTCTGTATTCCATGTTCTTGACCTTCTCAGGCAACCATAGTTCTAGATACCAGGGTGCTGCCCCATTTGGGGGATTCTTCTAACCCCCAGCTTTGGGCCCAATAGAGAATAATACTTCATCTACAGTGGTGACTTGGGCCACTTGAACTCAGAGCCTCAGACAACTCGACTAGCAAGACCCCGTCTGTGATCAGGATAGTTTTTTCAAACACACACACACACACACACACACACACACACACACCATAAAAAACACAGCAGCATAAAAGGTAATGAAAACCAGACCAGCTACTCAGGATTCCTGGCTAGAGGAGAAAAGCTGGTCTCTACCACAATTCTCCTCCCAGAATCCCGAATGGCTTTTGCCTTCAATTTTGAGCAGGTTTTCTTTCGAATCTGATTTCTCGATCCTTCTTCCTGAAGGGGGGAAGAGGATGAACCTTGAGACAAAACAGGACAAAGCCCAGGAGTGGGGGGCAGGAGGGAGGGGACATCAGGGACAATAGTTATGAGAGCTTCTCTCCGGTAAAAATCAGGCTGGTCTTTTTTTAAAAAAAACTCCTCATTGGATGACTTAACTGATCCAGAAGTTTCTTTTCCTGCTCCCTCCGAGTATCAGCGCCTCTTTCCCCGAATTCTGACCCCCTCCAAGGTCAAATCACCAGAGAAAACTGGAAGACTCTCATCTCAATTTTCATGGAACCTTCTCACGCAGATCCAAAGCAGTTTAAAGGGGAGGAAGAATACCACCACTATTAAAGAAAGCCCCCTTCGGTTGGTTACCTTATCGTTCTGGTATGCAGTTACAGCGATGAACTCGGTTTCGGGGAACAAGTACGTCCGAAATGTACTATAAGGAAGTTTCAAGATATCGTTGGCTCTTACAATGTGGAACCGGGGCTGGTATTTGTGCATGGAGTTCAGTATGGTCTGCAGAGGCAGGGAAAAGGAGACAGACAAAGGATTTAGCAGGACAAACGGGATCTTAGGACCCCTGCCAGGCTGACATCTCCCCACCGCAGGGTACCACGCTTGGCCCGAGCCCACCTCCTTGGAGTACCTCCTTGGGTACATTTTGCTCCACAGATGTTATCTTCTGGAGAATCCAAATTGCTCCTTAATTTCCAAAGGGGTCCCCCCCACCCTCAACCATCTAAGGTTCATTCGTACCTTGAACCCTAGCCTACCTGGGAACCAAAACTATAATTCCCCTGCCACGTTGCGTGATCACTTGGGAAGGCCAAAGTCTTAAAAGATAGAGAAAAACATGCATTTTAATTTACAAAATGATTCAGTACTTAAGCGCCCACTAATTGACGAGCCCAATCCACTTAAAGCCCTGAGAGGCTGAACTCTAGAGAGAGGAATATTTATGCCTTAATCAAATCAAGGGCTTCAAATGCAATTCCTGCCCGCTGAAGATATTTCCGTGCCATTCACGTCTTCCTGGGCCTAATCTTTCTGCTTATTCCTCACTTATCACTCTGTTTATTTTATTGAAAATGTTGTGGGGGGTGCAGAAGGGGTAAAAAGTTCCTTGCCTGACGTTCACAGCAATCCAAGTCTTCCAAAAGTTTCTAAGCACCCGCTCTTCGAATTCACATATACCCTCCTCCGTGCACACACACACGTCGTTTTGATATCAAAAGACCTAAGCCTTATTTCTAGGAAACCCGACTTTTGCCTCAGTTCATTTCTTTTTCAATAAAAGAAAATACGTTTTGAAGGACATTATGCAGACCCTGTGCACCAACCGAGTCAAGCCTCCAAAACTTAAACGGCTCTCAAGAAAGAATATGGCTGGCTTCAAAACAGAAGTTAAGACATTTGAAAACAACACATATCCTTTAGGAACACAGAGCTTTAAACTGTATTTTAGCTCTTAATGATTGGTTTCTATTATAACTATCGTCAGGTCAGGCAGCTACCAAGGATCTGGAATGACTACAGGACACAAGCTCTGAGCTGCTGAAGTTTTCTCGTCCCTGTTTCTTTTAAAACGCCAGGCCTTCCATGCTCCAGACAGAAACACCCTGGAATCCTCTCTCCCGTCCTGCAGGGGAATCAGGAGGAGTTCGCTATGTTTAGCAGCAGAAAGCAAGAGAGAAGTCTGAATGGAGACTCAGGAGTTTATACAGACTGGAAAAGCAGTGCACCTTTGGTCGAGTTAAAGGAAAAGTTTTACTGAAGGGACCGGTGAAACTTACAAATCCATGTTTGTCCGAAATGTTGTTGGTGAGTTTCAATTTGTGGAAAGTGACGACTTTGGACATCCACTGTTCGCCGGTGGCAGGGCTGTCTGGGTGAATATACATTCTCTTTGGCATTTCAGGGTCGGCCTTACCCGCCACCATCCACCGAGAATTGTGGAATTTATATCGACAGTCATCGGCAGCTATAATGTCCATCAATAAAATGTATTTGGCTTTTTTATCCAGTCCAGAACATCTTACTTTAAATGGAGGAAACATTCGCCTACATACAGGAGAACAGAAAAGGACAAAAGAGAAAAGTAAATCACTCCAAATCGCTCAGGGTTGATTTCCCATTCATCTTAAAACTCGGTAAACCAAACTGTCAGCTTTCTATCCTGAGGAATAAGTGAATATTTTTCAGAGGGACAAACGGGCAGCAAAATTGTTTTCTTCCACACAAAAGGCTTACCTATGCCTCCTCGGTGTGTATTTAAATGTCCTAAGATTCAACACAAGTCCGCTGTGCACGGAAATCTATATTGTCTAATCATTTCTTTCAACTACGTCTCCCCTCTGTGTGACTTTACAGAGGGCCTTCTTCCTAGAGAAATTATTGTTTGAGGTTTTAGGGTTCACCCCCCCTCCCCGTGGGTATCTGCTTCTAAGCAGCTTGGGGTGAAGATGTTTAATGGAGCGGGCCAGAATTTTCCAACACTCACTGATGAGAAAATGTTAAACTTATTAAGGAAATACACATCAAGTTGCACCCCTCCCTGGTCTAGAACAGCAGTCCCGCTGCTGGCGAAATGAAACTGGACTTCAGTGAGTTCTCAGAACAAATTTTTGCAGCTTAAGGTAGACTCCAGGGCCTGATAACCCGATTGCCTGTCAAGCTGCTAACCACATTCCCCTACGCCTAAGGCCCGTCCAAAACTGCAAGACCGTGCCAACGAATTGCTGTTAATTTCACTAAAGTGTTGGCATTCTGGACTCTTGACTTAGAAGGAAGCCCTTTACTGTGAAACTGCCTAAATGTCTCGTGGGTTTGAGGATTTTGTCAAACTTTGGCCTCATTAGGCTTGCAAAGAGACAGAATGTTGAACACATCAAAAGCAGAATTTTATTTTTACACCCATTGAATTTTATTCTATTCCATTTACAGACTTGAATGGCCTTAAAAAAAAAGAAAGAAAAAGCAGTGATTTTAAATCTTCTCTTCCAGGCAGGTCTGGCGAGGCCAAAACCTCTACATAGTATGTAAAATATAGTTTATAATATTCACACTCCCCACTGGTTCTTTAGGTCTGCAAACATAATCTTAATTATCCCAAATTGCCTGCTGAGATCTCCCTCCGGTTATAGACACGTGAAGGAGTCTGGACAAACAAACCAAAAAAACGCCCTTGGGTTTCTTTCTGACCCTGGCAGTGGCCGGCTGAGGCCCCCCTCCAGACCCAGAGGCTAGGCTGAAAGGGCAGCGAGGGCGGGGGACTAGTGTCAAACCAGTCCCTACCTCGCCGAAGAAAAAGGTTTTCCGTTTTTCTCTCTCCGAGAACAAAATTTAAAAAGATGAAAGCATAACATTAACAAAGAAAGAAGGCTATTCCAGAAAGGCTGGGAGTGAACTTCTTGCAGTGGTAGGGCTGGTTTGCAAGGCTCCCCCAGAGATGTCCAGCTCCCCTAAAACGCCCTTATCTTTTTTTGTGGAGAACCCAGGAGGCAGACCTACATAAGACGGTGCAGACAGACGTCCAGGTAAGCTGACATTTCCTGCCACTGGGCCAGGGCCCCGGAGTCTCTATATACAGTTTTAGGAGAATTTAGTTTTTCGTCCAAGCCGTAATAACTAGCTAATCAACTGTTCCGAAAAGGAGAAATAAAGAGAGGAAAGAAAACCTCCACTAGCTAGAGGAAGGGACACCCTCCCCCCCCTCCTTTCGCTTACCTTCCCGACTTGGTAATGACCATCTCTGTGCCCCGCTTGTGGAACTGATCCCAAAGTTCCTTAGCCTCCAGGTGCACCTTGGGGTCGTCCTCCACCTCTTCTTCGGGCTCCATGGTTTTCAGAGGCCTCAGATGCGCCTGGGGCCCCAGGGACGAGAAAGGGATGCCGGTCTCGGCCGCCCCCACCAATTGATCCATGATCGGCTTGGCCAGGGCTCCCGGCAGCGAGAGCGCCGCGGCGCCGTTGGGAGGCAGCGTCAGCGCGGGGAAGAAGGGTGGCTGGTGACCCAGCACTGCGCTCATGGCGAAGTCCGGCGCCCGGTGAGGTAGGAACGGATGGTAGGCCATGCTTGTCCCAGGAATGACCGGATCTCTCATGGAGAGGCTCATCCACTCCAGGCGGGGCGCTGGGCTCCAGCCGGGGACAAGTCCGCCGCTGCTGTTCTGTATTTGCTTTTTTTTTTTTTTTTAGCAGCAGCTCATAGTTTTTTTTTTTTCCTTTTTTTTTTTTTAAAGTCAAATTGTAAAAGAAGAGGAAGAAATCACAATTAAAGCACTTCAAAGGGAGAGAAAAAGTGGGGGGGGGGTTTGGAGAATGCCGCTTTTAAAGAGGGCAAGGCGAGAAATCAGGAGACATAGTCGCTGGGGTGACTGCTCTTGGGTCTTGCGTGTTTTAAAAAGCCGCTCCTGGAAGTCGGTTTCAGAAACGAGAGGAGCGAGCAGCGTCTCCACTCGCGCAGCTTAGCTGGAAATAGACGCGCCAGCCCTCGGTCTCAGGAATCTTTTCCCAGCCCCCAGGTTCTTTGTTGCAAATGCGAACGGTTCTCCTGGAAGACTTTTTACCTCTTCTTCTTCTCCTTCCCCCCGCCCCCTATCTCTCTGCCTTTCCCTTTCTCGCTGGAGGCGTCTGCAGTTGCGCTACACCCGGCTTTAACAGGGAGCGAGAGCGGAAAAAAAAAGTCTCTCTCTTTAAAAAAAAAAAAAATCGGATTTAAACTCCCTTCTACCAACGCTATCAAAACTCCAACTGCAAACTGGCTTCCGTCCGCCCTCCTCCTCCTTCCTCTGCTCCGAGCCTCCGGAGGGTGTCCTCGGTTTCAATCCGAATCTTGCTGTGCTCTGCTCCGGTGGCTTCTCTTCCTTGTCCTAAAACGTGAGCGAATTGGCTTCCTAAATCTGCGTCCAGGCGCGCGGGGCAGGAAGGATTGAGAAGGGAGGAAAAAAAATGGAAAGGAGGGAGAGAGTGAGAAAGAGGAGGAGAGGGAACGCGAGGAGAGGGAGGGAGTGAGACAGCGAGCGAGAGAAAGCGAGAGAGCTCCTCGCCACCTCCTCCGCCTCTACAATTCCCCGGGCGTCTGCTCGGCGACTCTAGAAGGTCCGGCTGCACTGTGGGCTTCGGGGAGCCGGAGGCCTCTTGATTGGCTCTTTGACGCTTTCGGACCAATTGTGTTGCTGCATAGGCGTGGTTTTCACAGGTCGAGTGCTGGGGGATAGAGCTGAGTTATAAAAAGAAGGTGTCGGAAACTGTAACGTCGCAGCGCCCCATCGGTACTACTGCCTGTCCTGTGAATATGTCAACATGATCAGAGGGAGGGCGGGAGCCACTGGGGAGCGCGCGCGCACAGAGTCGCCTCTAGGTGGCTTATCGAGAGATCGCCGCAGCCCCTGAGCTCGCTCGCTCTGGCTCAGCCTACGTCTGAAATGCCTCAGTCATCCAGCCCCAGATCAGGGGAGGAGGCAGGGCCGGGGAGGGAGGGGGAGGGAGAAAGGGAGGGAGCAAGTCAGCA